ATCGAATTCCCTATTCTCTTTCGTACGTTAGAAATTTCGGTTTGTTTGATGTTTAAAAATTGTATCGATATAGTCACTGACGCTCGTGTTTTTAGTAACTGAAATTTAGCCGGCGTACGATGTGTTAAGAGAAAATGCTGAATCTCGATAAGACGCTGGAAAAATGTAAGGAACGGCTCGACCTAAAGAGGCCGGCCTCGTCTAGCCATAATTCGCCATGGTGCACGTTGCACCTGCGTTCACGGGCGCGCCACAGTCAATGGCCGGCCGTATTTAGCATTCGATTTGTACACAGAAGGTCCGCGTCGCAGCGGATATAGTTAAGCGCCGGGCTGAATGGTAATCGACTACCTCTTTAAACGACGATCTTCGATCTGGTGCAGATAATGGCAGATAAGGATCCACTGGCGATGCGCCCGGAATACAAACCTGGAAGTTCCAACTGTTCTGTGCAGAGATTAGAGAAAGAACGGCGAAGACAAAGACTGGCGTCACCGTCACTGACAAGAGTCTGTCATTATAGCGGAACCTCGATATACTAGACTGTTGTAGGAAAGAGTTCGAAAGTGCTTCTAGTTACTCACTGCGCGGTTAGAAGTAAACCGCTGATATTGATAGGAAATTTTGTGGAATTTAGGGGAAACTCGAAAGTCAAATTGCAAGAAGATTTGTAAGCTAGTAATAGATGCTGTAAACATTGTTATAATTTTTGATTCTTGAAACTTCTTAGATTTAGCGACTGTGTGAGTTTCAATCTAGTAATAAGTAGAATATTAAGTAGTTTTTGGAATTTGTAATGCTTTGAATTTGTAAGGTGATTATAGGTTATAAATGAATGGAGATCCTCAATCTACTACGTGTATTGAATTTATTGAATATATTAAATTTACTAAATTTACTAAGTATACTCTACTAAAGCCACCGAGCCTACTAAATCTACTAAATCTACTAAGTTTACTAAATCTACATAATCTACATAATCTACTAAATCTACTAAATCTACTAAATCTACTAAATCTACTAAATCTACTAAATCTATTAAATCTACTAAATCTGTTAAATCTACTAACTCTAGTAAATATACCAAGTTCACTAAATCTAATAAATTCAGTAAATCCACTAAATCTGCTAAATCTATTAAATCTATCAAATGCACTACATCCACTAAATCCACTAAATCCACTAAATCCACTAAATCCACTAAATCTACTAAATTCACTAAAAAATAATATCGCCGACTCAATAAGAATCCCACAACCAAAATCTCCTGAGCCAATTACAATGTTCCTAACTCCTATCAGCAACCCAAAAGTGCAATAATCGCAACGATACGCAATCAGGCGCGCAGTGTCGCGACAAGAAAGGTTCTGTCGCGGGTATCGTCGACATTGTTCCGCGTCGGCGTCTCGCATGCCTGCTCGATAAAAGGGCGCGCTCTCCTTGCCGAGAGAAAGTTCTCTCTCGCGGATACACGCGACAGCCGCGCGTCAGTGGGTGTATATCGGCGTGCGCGCGCGACGCCTACCCGAGGACTACGTTGTTCGACACTAACAATTAGACCATATACAGGGTGTATCTAGTAACCAGTACAAACTATACCACTGTTCCTCTTGAAGCCCGGAGGAAATCGTAAACTATTGTACAAACGTTTGCACTGTTTGACAGAATCTCTCGCGCTACAATACCAGCTTTTTCACAAATGCATCGATACAGTTGCGAAGTCCAGCTGCACTTTCTTTTCAAATAAAATTCTATGTTTCTCTTTTTACATCAATGGTTTCTTTTACTTCGAATGGTCACTAGAAACGCGCTGTTAATAAATAAGATATCAGAGTAGTGATCGTAATGTGAGAAAGTATTCGAATATCGAACTTTCCAAGTCAAATGTCTCGAAAAATATTCAATTTCCAATGATAATGTCTTGATCTTTTCTTATGGAAAATGGTGGATAGAAACTATTTGTGCAAGAAAAACATAGAGTTTTATTTAAATGAAACAGTGACAGTTATCCAAAGCTTGGCCTATAAGTATATGTGGTCTAAGGTTCGACAGAAGGTCCTGTCGTTCCTCTTCGTGTGTCTCTGCTCGGATCCGCCTCACTATTAGAATTCCGCGCCTCGAATACTGCGTAGACCGCGAGGAACAAGCTTTGACTGGGCTTTGTTCAGCATACTAACGAATTGGATCGAGTTTGCTAGCGAGAACATGCTGGGAAGCCGAATTTCCGGGTGAACGTTAGCGGATTCGTTAGCTACCTTGCTAAGGCTTCATTACGAAATTACAGATTTTATATGGGGAAGTAGGGTATTTGTTTAGCTTTGATCATGGAATATCTGTGTAACAATAGGTACCATGAGAATGAGAAACGAGTGTTGGAAATTTAGTTGAATTTGTGAAGGAGTAACGGACGGTTCTAGTTAGCCACTTTGCTAACGCGTCAGCCGTCAAAAGGGACGCTATAATTAAATATTTTATAGGATAAGTATATCTATTTAAATTTAACATTGGAAAATATCTTCGATCACTGATGCCATAAATATTAAAAACGAATATACGAAATTTAATCAAATTTTCTAAGCAAATAAAGTAGGACTCTAATTAGCTACCTTGCTAAGGCTGCAAACATCAGGATCTTCATTAAGAAATTTAACATCACACGTGAAGGATTATAACATTTATTTACATTTAATATTGGAAGCTATTTTTAATACCAAGTCACCGTTAATGTCAAAACACGAATATTTGTAATTTTAAGTCACATTTGCCTCGCACCAGCTGATAACAGGTGGTTTAGAGAAGTCACGCATACGTGTTACCGGTCGTTAATGCTTTAAGAGGAATTTCGATTTAGAATAATTTGCGATCGAATGAATTGCGACGACACGAGTGGCACGATAGCCTGGTCGATCGCGGATCGTCTATCGGCTGGCCTGGCCTGGCCTGGTCCTAATGGATCGACATTCTTCTTGCGCAACGAGACGTAAAGACCTTTAACGCTGCCTACTGCCTTCTGGTTCTCTGTACTGCGCTCTGCTACGGGCGCGGATGCTTTATATGATTACGAAACTCGGGCCTTTGCCGGGCCTTGACACCTGCAACGCGCCGATATATCGATACCAGGGCAGTTGAACGGGATGTAGTGTACACCCTTATTAATGGGACACCCGGTGAAGGACTTGTAACGAGGCAAGATGAGATTTCTTTGCCTGAAACCGTTTTTTGACAGACAGTTATTCTTGGGTCAGTTTCATGATTTCTAGGAACAACAGTTTCGCGTTACTTCTGCTTGAAATATCTGATGAACAATTAGCGAGGCAGATCAGCACTTTTGTTCTTAAAATCGTCTATTGGTTAGATATTTATTTAAAAGAGGGACAAGTGGGAGTTGTCTTTTTAAAGTCTCCATTTATATTATCATGTTTTGACGAAGTTGATGGACAGGTAGTGAAGCAGGTCTGTACTCTTGTCCTTGAAAACGTTCTTTTATAGAATGGGTATTCTATAGTGCGATTGAAATCGTTTTCTGATGAAACGGTTCTTTTAAAATGAAGTGGACAATGATGAACTGTTTAAAATTGAGTTTGGTTTGGGGTAGTTGATGAATTAGAAGCGACGGAGTATTTAGTTTTTCTATTTGCAGAGTCGTCTTTCCCGAGCAAACACTTGCAGCCTCCGAATGTCGGATTTCAGCGGACCCGTCTCACGGATCTAACGGTGACCAGACCATCTTCTTCGATCGAAGGAGCGGCGGTCGGCGGAGCCAAGTGATTCACGCGATTCGTGAAAGTTCGGTTGCGTCGATCAAGGAACAATTCGAAACCTCCTTGGAATTCCGGGACGCGTAATTCGAGGATCCTTGAGTCAGTGAACGACCAGGATTATACGGAGAAAAACACTCTAGAAAAAGGATTCAAATTTCTCAAAGATCCGAAACCGATGACTAAGAAGTCTTACGAGTGAACGAGAAGTAACCATAGGACTTCGAAACACTTGCCGGTTTCCAACCAAGCAAGGACGCGTTCAGTTGCGTCATCCCCTAAATTTCGCGCCAAGATCCAGGCTTCAGTCTCCCGAATACTTTTACTGCCTTGACTCAGTATCTACTTGAAGAGTGTACAAACTTTGAAGTATACTTCTTTAGAATTATTGCAGTCCGAAATATTAGGACCTTTTTTCTAGATGACAGGACTCTAAAAATTCTTGAGACCACTAGGTCTATCAGACCCTTCTTTTAGGATTCATGGGATTTTAAAGCTTCATAACTTCTAGGTACCTTAACATTTTAATAATTCTGCAATTTTAGGACTCCAAGGATCCTATTAGACTCTTTGGACTTGAAGACTCCTTGATCTCTTAGGCCCCTCAAATAACTATTTTAGACTCTCAGAATTCTAAGGATTCACTCTTAGAACTCTGCCAGAACCTCCTTATCCTCTAGCACCGTTCCAAAAATTCTCTTAAATCCTGATAACTCAAGAAAAATCCTCTTACAACTCCCAGGACACAACACCAACAAGCCCTAGCTCCAAACCTCAACACGCCAAACCTCAGAGGAACTCTTCACGATCACAAGCCTGCGAAGACAAACGAAATCCTAAAGCTAAATCCTCAAGAATCCTAGCTCCACCTCGAACCCCCAAACCCCAGAGGAACTCTTCACGATCACAAGCCTGCGAAGACAAACGAAATCCCAAAGCTAAATCCTCAAGAATCCTAGCTCCACCTCAAACCCCCAAAACCCCAACACCAATCGTCCCACAAACCAGACCCAGACCTATCCGTTCACCCACGAAGACCATACGAGTCCGCTAATCCAACACAGGTTCACCGAGCGACCGAACAGTCGGTATCCCGAGACACGCGTACACCGTGTCCGAGCCCGGAGAGCTACGCGGTGTCTAGTTTTCATGGGTCGAGTGGGGTGTGCTCCAGGCGGCCGTGGTGGGTGGCGTATAAGTAGAGGCCTGCATTCGCCGCCGTTCTCATACCCTCACCACGTCCTTCGGCTACCTCTTACTTTTACTCCGCGGCTCGGAGCACGTTTTTTCACCCGGGGCCCCGTTGCTTCTCTTTCTCTACCGAGAGTTTCCTGTCGCTGGGCCGGAGACAGAGACACACACGCACGGGCACACACGGACAGGCCACGTACACGATCTCTCTCACTCGTCCCGGTTAAGGGAACGAGATCACCGAGAGTGAGAGTAAGGGATCTCGATCGCAAGGATTCGCGCGCGATCCCTTCGGTACTCGTTGAAGGATCGGGCCAGCAGGCGGACAGGGTGCCTAAGACTGACTCTAGAAGACGAAGTGGACGAACGATGGTCGCGAGTGTCCGGTGACGATATTTGCTGATCGGTGTTCTCGTTCGCAGTAGCGCAACCGCATCCGAACCGCATCGCGCAGTGTCCGCGTACTTTCGCAACGAAGATCTCCAGGGAGCAGGAGCAACAGATCTTTCGGAGGAGCTGGACTGATTCGAGTTAGGGACCGACGGGACTGTTCGACATGTGGCTGAAAGCATTACTGTGAGTACTAGATTTAGGTAAAGGGGCCCGGACACTAATGCGGTTTTGTGCTGGGTCCTGGTCCTGTCTCGGCTGAATGTACGCTTGAGGGAGGGACTGTGTGATTGGGGTAATTGATAGGCTGTGTTCAGTTGAGAGGAGAATTATAGGATTGTGTTAAGTTACAATATGTGTTCACTTGAGTAGAATCGCTATAGTCGAAGGTTTGGGCCTTAATTTATGTGAGATCGTTTGTTTAGTTCATATTTGAATCGTAATTAGCGAGTTAGCCTGTATGCCCACTTGAGAATGGAATTGTTTAGTTAAGACAGATTTAGATTTGGGCCTTACGCTACATGCCCAGTAGAATTGGCCAGTTTGTTCAGACTCGGACCACTTGGAAGTGAAATTGTTTGATCGAGGAAGGATTGAATCAGTCCCTTGAAATTGGGCATTAAGTCCCAGGCCCACTTAGAAGTGAAATTGTCCAGTTGTATGTTAACTATCTTCAGTATCTCAGGCTATGTATGCAGTAGTGATGAAAAAATATTTTAGTTACTCTTTCGAAATTGGGCCTTAAGCTGCAATGCCTACTTCGAAGTAGAATTCTCGCATTAACTCAGACATTACTTAAGAGTAACATACTTTAATCAAAAAAACTTTAAACTAGACTTCTAAAATTGGGCCTTAAACTGCATTATCTGAACTACTTATAACAGCTTATGCTGTGTATTCACTTGAGTACATCCCTATAAAAATACGACCAATCGTGCATTGAACTTTGATCTAGAAATAACTCCATCGGTTTACATTGTCTATTCGCTTGACAATATTCCTTAAGAAAAATTGTTATCTATCTAATAGAACACAATAGCCAAGTGTACATGCAGCGTTACTCGCAGACAGCTTCCAGTCCGCGGAATAAAACTGGTCGCAATTTAATGTCGCGTAGACAAACAGCATTACCTTCCTATCTTTAGAACCCTTTCACGCGAGATACGCGGTGTTCGCGGTTAGATTTCGAGCTCTATTTACAACGCCAGAACCGATTGTTTATAACCGAATCGATAATTCCGACGCCGACACGCGTTCCTTAACACTGGAACCACTTAGCATTTATTGTTGTTCATACACAATCCTTAGAAAGACTGTAACAATACATTCTTCTTCAATTCTTTCAATTTGCTACAGTGTTTAAGTGAAATTATTCAAGTTTCTTGAAACGGGGTCTTATAATCTAACAATTTTCAAAAGCACACTGGATATTGAGCACTGTTAACATATCAGTAATTGCCAAGAAGACTACAAGTTCTAGTGTAAACGCGTCACTACAAGAACGTACTTATTATGATGTAATAATAAGAAAAATAATGGTCCCAGCGGCAACGTGTCAATTTCCAATTTCTGTCATTCGAAACATGTCTTTCATGCCTCGACTTGCGCCCCGATAAGCGTAATGTCCATTTTGATTCACGAGATTAGGATCGGGACACAGCACAGAATGCGTGAACGCACGTCTCGAAAGTCAGTCACGGTGTCCTGTTTCTCAATCGGTTGGTTCAGAAATCGCCTTCTTTCGCAACCGTGATCGCTTTCCTCTGCATGTTTTAACAATCATTCTGAGATCACCGACTATAACCGATTCATAGTCCGTGGCGTGGCACGCGGTCTCGTTAACGGGAAAATTTCTCGGCTCGTTAACGGTTCGTCTACGGTTCACGAAAAATATGTGTGCGCATGTTTGCGCGTATGTTTGTGTGTGTGTGATCGTTGATGATCGTCACGTAGACGGAGAATGACGAAACGATCTCTTGGAAGAGGTCAGATACAATGGAAACTCGATTATTCGAACCGGTCGTGTATTGTTCGATGCAAGAATTGAATTTTCCTTTGGTTTTTCAGTGTTTGGGAATTATTTCTGGAGTATTTGATTTATTTTGTTGCTGATTTTGTAGTATTATATTGTAATATAATTAGTAATATTTATTTGTTCGTTTACTTATTTTTGTTTAGAAGATGAGTACTATATTGAGATTAGTAATGTTTATTTATTTATTTTTTATTGGAAGATAAATATAATATTGAGATGACCAACGTTTATTTATTTATTTATTTATTTATTTATTTATTCTGTATATTAATGGAAAAATTAGTTCTATCATTATTAGATATTATAGATATTAATATTTACCTATATATTTCTTTATTTATTTCTAAGTAGAAACAAAAATGCTACGATAAAATTAACAACGTACATTTATTCGTTTATTCATTTATAATTAGGAGAAATATACCATAATAAGTTAGCAACGCTTCAGTTAACAGAACTGTCGACGATCGCATGAAGAATAAATGAATTAGTAATTAACCTTTTCCACGATTCCGATACAAAACAAGATATAAACCTTTTGAAATGGTTCTAGGTAATTAATTTGTTTGTTTTTCATCTAATCAACTCATCTTAACTCTTAACAACGGTTTTGTGTGAAATAACAGAAGAAAATAGGATGGTATAGAATACATTTCTGTTTTCCTCGTGAAACGTACAATTTTACTTTTCCTCGAGAAACCAAGACTCCAGTACTAATAAATAAAATCTGAACGACTCCGAACAAATTGCAATACTCTAAATAAATTACAGTCGTAAATGATTTGATATTTTCATAACTATATTAAGTGTATTGTAACATTTAGAAAATCGAATGAAGAGATATACCACTGTTCCCTTAGCAACGAACTGCCATTTATTTTATTTATTGGTTTCTTATTTAGTAAGTCCTAAACTGGGAATACGATAAGTAAATTCGCAAAACTTGCAATTCGATAAATTCATTTCTTGCTTTATGAAACATAATTCTGAATAAAACCTGTTGAATGAATTCAATTGAAGTTAATGGAAACGGTTACAGGTGCAGTTATTTATAAACGGTTGCCTAAGTGTTAATATTAAAATACTGAACTATATAACTGTGTAAGTAAATCTATGAAACGAAGGAAAAATTCAAAGCCACGAGAAAGAGAAGGAAAGTGTTGAAAACGGAAGAACTTGTCCTGCAACCAAAGGAAATCGTTCCGTGACACGGTAGCACGATACCGTCTAATTAAAAATCACGGCTGGTCTCGGTCTGCGGAGCGATCAATGGACTGGGATCTAGCTCGATCTCGCTCTCATTTTCATCTCAAGCATGTTCTTGCTAGCCAACTGTTGCCTGGGTCCATTTTGGCCCATATTTTCAATGATTTTACGTAATTTCTTGCCTTCTTTCACCTGACTTCACTTATCAGTTGATTATATTAATACTTTACCTACCGAGAATTTATTAATAAACTTTTCGACGTCCGTGTTGTACTAGAAAATGAACTGAAAATATTATTTTGGATAATCACTACGAAAAAGTTGTTTATTTTATCTGAAAGAGATTGATGGTTCATGGTTATAATTGCTACTGCTATTGAAATATTTGCTAAGGAATCTTTAATTGTTAATCGTGTGTTTTCTAAAAGATTATCGACAAATCGCTGGTGGGTAAAATGTTTAGAAGACTTAGTAGTAAAGTGTAATGAAAGGATTTAGGGGAATTGATAAACATGTCTGTGGTTCTTACCAAAAACAACCGCCATTGGAAAGTTGTGTAAAGTGTTCAGAGGATGTTGATTAACCATGCAAATCTAGAAAAAGAAAACAGAAACGAAAGAATGTTAATATTAAAATAAATATTACATTGTGAAATAGATAAATAATAATAATACTAAAAAGAGTAATATAAAAAATAGTCATAAAATAAAGGAAGCTCAGTGATGTGACACTTCGTTAAAAATAAACAAATTTTATGGTGCTTTCCTTTCGCAGTATTTCATATATTATTTTTAAAATATTCTTTCTTCTAAATTAATTATTTTTGGAATATTGTTTCCTTCCAAATGAATTAATTTGAAATAATATCTCTTTTCAAACCAATTATTCTTAATCACTGTTTCCTTTCAAACTAATGAATATAAAGTATTGTTTCATTTCGAACAAATTATTTTCCAAACGTTGTTCCCTTCCAAAGTAATTAATTTAAAACAATGTTTCTCTTGGAATGAATTATTTTAAAAATATTATTTCCCTCTAAATGAATTAATTGCAAACAGTATCTCTTCCCAAATCAATTATTTCCGAAACGTTGTTCCTTGTCAACCCAATTATTCCCAAACTACAATCTACAATAAAACATTCCACCCACCGTTCTTCCCGAATAAAACACCAACTCAAAAATCCCCATTCTCCAAGAGGAACCATCAAACATCCGGTAAACCCAACCCTCCAATGACTCCGAAACCTGTGCACAGTCACCAGCAACAGCAAACAAACTGCCACCATCCGGCACTCTCTAAACTTCATTCTTCAGCGAAGGAAAGTGACTCTCCCTGGCAACGAAGATTGCCCAACGAACTTCGACAGATGATGCTACCCACGAATCGTGGGACCCGAGCTGATCCCCGTGCAACAAGTCGCGCTCCTGTAAATCCTAATCTCGATCCAGTTTCCCTAGAAACTTCTGTAAAACGAAACAGACGAAAAAAAACCACCGTCTAACAAGTGATCCTCGGGTGTCGCGTGACCATAACGAACGAGCAACGTGTTTCGTTTCGTTTCGTTTGCGGATAGAGAAAGTTTCCCTCGAAAGGTTGCATCTCCCGCTGTTTGCGCGCGCGTTTAGCGCCGTTGTCGCTGGTTTCGTAGGCGAGAGGGAAAAAGAAGAGGAGCACAGGGGGAGGAGCGGTAGGAAAAAAAAACGAGGGGAATATTTACCGACTTGCGATAGGCGCACGGCGCGAGGTAATGTTGTCGGTTACGTAAGGAGTCCGCGCGCGCTGCGCCTGTGCGCGCGTGTTCCTTGCCGGAGGTGGTACTTATACATGCCCACGTAGCCTAGCGGTGCTTACGTAGATGGCGAGCGCGAGACGCGGCTTTCTCCATATGGAATCACGAGGAATTCCTCGCGAAGACGCGGGGATTCTTGTTCTGAGGATGTGCG